AGCTGTGATTTGTCCATAGTAGCCAATGTCTTTTGCATCCATAGAAAAGTGCCATTTAGAAGAAACCTTGAGGTGTGAGTTGATGGGCCAGGGAATTATCTCTACAGTGCCTTCTTCCATATAAAACTTTAAGACCTTCTCCATCAGATGGCTGCAGCTGTTCTTATAGATCACCACTTTCTGTACCCCAAGAATCTTGTACATTTCCACACTCTGTATAAATTGCAGGACATTGTTGTAATTTCCAAACATGGCAGAGATGCACACAGTAAAGTCAACAGAGAAGGTCTCAGCCTTGCGATTTTTAATTTCAAACCGTGGCAGCTGGTCAATATCTCCATATGAAGACTGATGAATCGATACATGTGTTGGATCACAGTTTTCGGGTTCCAAACAAACTATATCTGCTGCACCGTAAGGGAATCCAAATCTGTCCGAGTGGACATCAATTTTTGCTTTGGACACATATATCTTCCCATCGGGCTGACAGCAGAACCAGCAGTATAGTTGTTTTACATCTTCATGGTGGACAATCCCAATCACACGAGTGATTTTGCTTTCTCTGTCATCAAAGTATGGGGATATAATAAAAGTTCTGTTATCATTTAATGCTGTTATTACATTTTGAGCAGGTTTTCCCCTACAAAGCTGACCTGCTGGACTGGCAGTTGTTGCCTGGGGGAAGATTTTTCTAGTGAAGTTATTCCGTAGCTGAGGATCTTTCCAAGAGCAGATTAAAAAGCTTGCAAAAATAAGAAAAAATGCAACAGCACAAATATGTTTTTTTCCACAGTGTATCATTGCTGAATTTCACAATTTGGAATTTAACAGACCTTTATACTCAGTCTTCTATTCACTTTTTCTAAAACAAAACAAACACACAAAAAGCACACTTTCAGTGATTTGCCAAAAATAAGTACTTTTTTTTTTTAAATTGAACTGTGTTCTTTTAAATACAATAGTTAACTGTTTTGATACTTCAAACTTTATTATGAAGATCTGACTTTTCATACAGGTTTGGAAAAAATTGAGAGATTGTCTTATACCTCCTCATTCCAAACTTTATTATACTTAATTCTACAATAGGCCCAGTGCAACAGTTTCAGCTGTTTTGGTATACAGTAATGGTAATGTAGTGTAGTTTGAATCTCTTTGAGGCCTGGAAGAAAATCCACATTCTTTAACTTTTGGTACTCTGAGAATCTTGTAAAATGTGCTGTGAACACAAATTCAAACTGCATTCTTTTGTATTGGGTAGGAGGAATCCTATCACAGTCTCTTAGTATCCTGATTCCCAAGTCACAGAGGAAATGTTTTCAGAGCCTAGTAGGATCCTACGTTATTCAACATTATCTAGGAAAAGAGGTTTGAAAAGAACGACTGACCTTTTCACTTGTTCAGGGAGCTGAGATTACCTTAAAGGCAAATTTATTTTGCCACTAGAGATGCCAAGTCTCGGACCACAGTTCTAAACTGGAAGTTGATGTCAGTGGGACTTTGTGTGAATATTGTGACCCTTCATTGTGACCACATGCACTGCTGAACTTTTTAACCTTGCAGTGGAAACGTCAGGTTCTCCAAGATGTTACCAAGTCAGACTACAAAGTAAAGAAATTCAGTAATACAATCACGGCTTGGTATTTAAACGTGCTTCAACTAACAGGCAGATGGAAGGCAAATTAAGACAAAAACCAAACTAATCCAAACAAACCTTGCTTTATTCTATGAGCAGCCATGAGGGTGTGATGTAACGTGATACATCACAACAACACATCAGAACAATTAACCATTGTCTGTACCATTTGTAGGTGTTCTGTCCTCTTTTGTATGCACTCAATCTCAGCTGAATAACAACTGTTTTCTAATTATGCACAAAATTGCCACTTGAGTTATAGCTCTCTTCTGACTTCAGAGTACTAGGTCTGAAGAACATGGTGAAAGCACTGCTGCCTGGTGTAATCTGTGAATCGAAGATGTTCCTCAACTGTTCTTTTAATTTTTTGGCCTCAAAAAAATTAAGAAGTTATTTTGAATGGTGTATAATGGACCTGTTCTCTAAAGTGAAAATCTCGTGCTGCTCTCTGCAAATTGTCGTCTAAGCTGTACATCTTCCCCCTTCGTGCAAGTATTGGTATTCACCAATTTTAAGATTATACTGCATGTGCGGAATTGTTTTTCTGATACGTTCACAAAGTTTAAAGTTACTCAGTTCTGCAGAAGATGTCTCCTCAACTGCTTTAACTGCTTCTAATATTGCCTCCTCAATTAACCAATAAAATTCAAATATGCATTTTGTCATTAGCTCACTAGTAGCTAAGCTGGACCTTGCAAGTGGTATTTGTGTAGAAAAGATGACAATATATAGAAAAGTGGGGCTGCATAATCAGTTATCAGCTTGCACCAAAGTTCTTCAAATACATATTGTTATTCCTATTTTTGGTTTGGAAACCATTTACAATTACTAACCTGCTGTCTATTAGATAACTAAGGGAAAGAATATTTTAGAGTGAAGTGGTTTTTTTTCATAAGAGTATTAATTGGAAAGTGGGACTGAAAAATGCTTACAGAAAAGTTCAGGGGAAAAAAAACATAAAAGAAAAAAAAGCGAACAACAACATGGAAAAACTAGTTCTAGTTCTTGTTTTTTATCCACAAGAGCTTTTATTTTCCTTTTTTGTTTTTTCCTCTCTCCTGACTTTGGAGGTGGGATTTAGCTGTCAGTATTGGAAGAAATCAACAGAATTATTCACAGAGATGGGCGTAGGCCTAACGATCAAGAGGCATGTAACAAGGACAGAGGACAGGAACTTCAATAAAGCTGTGGAAGTTGAGTAGTTTATGGGTCCAATCTTCCCATCCAATAGAAAAACAAAGCGACTGAGGAAGGTAGAGAAAATCAGAGAATCCCAATATAAACTTTCCTGGGGAGGATTTACTGCATAAGAGATGGGCCAGATTTACTAAAGGGTGAGATGAAACATAGCACTAATAAAGTTCCTCATCATTAATGTCTGTCATGTTTATTTACAGAAATACAGGTCCAGGGTTTTTTTTTTGTTTGTTGGTTGTTTTTTTTTTTTTTTTTTGGTGTGGGTTGTTTTTTTTTTTTAATACAGATGCTAACTGCAAAAATCATTACCTTTTTCTGGTGAAATATGTTTTCAGCTGTCAGTCTTAACACCAGGCAGCAATACACCTTAAATATTTCCTGTTAAATTAGGCTTGGGAAATCTACATGAGTATTGCATTTTTAAGATGTAAGAAATATTAGAAACCTAGCAATCTCTTCCTGCAATAAAGACCTAATGTTAGAAACCACTCATGGCAAGTACTCTCATCTACTCTCTCTGCCTTTTGGAACACCCCTACTTTCTAGTCAATGTAAAAAGACAGCAGTTCCTGTATATCCCTCTGCACAGGAGTCTCCATCTTAGTTTTACATGCAAGTTACACAAAGCAGGAAGTTCACCCAAATGTTCCCTTTCATCTCACATCTTCTAGGTGAAACAGTCTGTTGTCCTTTTCTAACTATGTGCAAACAAACTTTTGATGTTGTTTCTCTTCACAAATTTTGTATGCATACATTACCAAATTTGGGCAATGCAAACTCATCCTAACAACTTATTTTTTAGACTAACAACAATGAGTTTTAGCATGCCAAATGCATTATTAACCACTTGATCTGGAAAAAAGTAAGCAAGGATTCCTAATAGAAACCAGAGGCCTCCTAGGGCATGGACGATGACTGTGAGTAAAACTTTACAGACAGGGACAATAAAGAAACAAGGAAGTCCCTTTCACCTAAGGAAGTCTGTAAGAACTATAGAAATACATAGAGATCTATATAGCCTGTTTAAATAACCTACTGTTTTTGCCTCAAAGAATTGTTTATTTTCTGGAAACCTCCATCCTATTTCTGTCTTTCATCTTGACCTGCTCAAAGGGAGATGAGTTGATACATTAATTTTTCAAGAAAGGGGTGGCATCCGTTCCTAAATATGAAATATGATTTTGGGTTCAGGCTTGTGCCACCTCTTTTGGAATCCACAGGCTGCAACCATTGTCCACTGAACTAGGCAGCTAAAAACACTGCTTCTCTTTTTCTAGCTGGGGTGGGATCATTAAAAAAAATGCAGCATCTCAACTATTGTCAGAGCAACAATTTCTGACCAGAAATAGCCACTGTCATTCTGAAAAAGGATTATACACGTGGAGTTATTGAGATACTTATTGTACTGCTTTGTACTGTCCTTTGTTCAAATGAACATATGCTGGCAAAGCCTCACTTCGCGTAAGAAGACATTCCAATGTTGAGCAAATGACCACTGTTTCACTGTGTCTGATATCACTACAGTCTTTGTTACTGAAGAAAATGTTTTGTGTGCTCTGAAACTGAAGGCTATCCCTCCTCTTTAAAAGAGGGGTTTAAAACATGTTGCCAACTCTTGACCTTCTCTGCTTCTTTAGTTTAGTACCACTTGCAGTACAGAGAACAAACCGGAAGATGATGTTTTCCTGCAAGGTATGTTGTATCAACACAGTTCAAGAAACTTATTCACACAAAACAATAAAAGCCTTGTTTTTAATAAGTGTTTTAGTGAAGCTTTATAAAACACTGGCACCCATTTTGCCTGGAATAGTTAGACAACACCGCAGAATTTTTCAGGTGCTACGTAAAGAGAAAATAGCGGAGTCCATGTTTGTTACGTGCAGTCTTTATATTTTGCCAGAACACGCAAAATCATGCCCTCCTAACATAAGAGGAATGCAATGATAGTGTATTTACTCACAGTTTCAAGCCTCTTTGTCTAGCACTTCATGCTTTCCAGTGCTCCAATTCTGCTTTACACTCCCACTGAAATGAGAGACCTTGCAACCTTGCCTGTTCCCCAACATCTGCTTCCTTTACAATTATACTAGTGCTTTTGGCCGTCTGTGGGAAATCCCGTGACTTGGTTAGCTTCCTGTACAGCAAATCAGTTTGCTTTCTGTTCTGTCATTTTCTCACATAAACAACTTTGACTTAATTGAACGATACATTATTGAATTGATGTTTATACCATCTCAACCCCTCAATGGTCATATTGGTTAACTGGGAGAATGATAGACGATCATTTTCCTTTCTTTACAGTGTCTGTGTGTATGTGGTTGAAGATTTATCTAAATCAGGATTTAAATACTTCCCATTAGATCAGCTGTAACCTAATGTCTTTCAACAGTCTTATCTTAAATAGCTCACTGTGTTTCCAGAGGAGCTTTCAGGTAAGCCTAGTCCTCTGTTATCTCTTTCACTTTATAATGACTCAAAATCAGCACAGCAATTGCGTGCACAGTTGTGAGACCAGAAGATAAAATTTAGTATTTAATCACACCAGCCTTTAATCTACCACAGCAGGTGTCTGAAATAGTAGGTGGATATAACTTGAGTCAACACTTGGTGGGCAGGTGGAGCTGTATTAATAGCTAATACAACACTGACTTAAACGGGAGGAGCAGGCTGGTTGGGGAGACATCCAAAAGAATAGAACAATTTCTTTTGGGGGGGCAAACTGGATTTGCCTGATTTATTAGCTACTTAGAAAAACTCTCTCTCAATAGCAGTGTGGTGCTTGCAATTTTTATTTTAAATATCTTTTATTTCTATGGAAAGACACATCTTCAGCCGTCTTAGAAGGAAAAAGGGAAATTGCAGAGGTGGCTTGATTAGAGCTGAAGTATTTGAAAGGGAAATTCAAATTGTAACTACTCAGCAATGGTAATTTGTGACTAAAGAAGAATCTGGCATGGAGGGCAAGAAGGCCTAGCTGCCGAATGGGTTAAGCTGTCTGGGAGCAGGAACACCAGATGCAGAATGACTCCAGATAAGTGAGAAAAAATCCCCCTTGCTGATAAGATAAGAAATGTCACAGTAATTCTCGTTCAACTGATTGCATATGTAAGAGTGCACCTTTGTCGAGCAGAGCTAGCACTGGGGATGGAGTCAATGCTGGGCTGAGGGGCCCGTGCAGGATGGGTGCTCATGCATGTGTGCGTAGGGAGTTGGCTTGTGTGACATTGCAAACTCCTGGTAGAACTGCTTATGGCAGTGGGACTCTGACAACGCATTGCTCATTACAATTCTTTCCAATTAAGCACAAACTTGTACTTTATTCACATCAAGGGGAACAATAAAAATTCCCCAACAATTTTTATTGTTATTTATGTTTGCTTGTTTCTCTACCATCATGTGTTAGCAGTCATGGGAAAATAAATAAATAATTAAATAGATAAGTAAAAATCAATGTAAGACCTATGCAGTTTTTCACCTACCTCTGAAGTTCTTCAACATTATCTAGGAGTAAAACGACCAGAAAAAACTGGCCACTGTTGCTCCTGCCTGAAGAGAGGCTCCTTGTGTTACATGGTTGTGCCCTTTAGGTAATGAGTCTCCAGGCAGTGGTAATATTAACAGATACTTATACACACCTTAGTTGTTTGTTTTTTTTTTTTTAAATAAAACAAGATAACAACAACTAAGCTGCCTTCACAAATCTATCAGTAAGTTTGATACTAAGCAAAACAATTTATTACACGACAAAGAGCCATTTCCCTTTACCACATGCTGACTTAGGTCAGTTCAATATTAGAAATTTTGATCCTCTTTAACAGCATGCTTTGTCAGCTGAACCACTAGGTCAACTTTTTCAAACATGTGTATTGCTAAATTTCCTTGAATTCTAAAAAATATTTTAGTATTGTTTATCAAGACTTACTGGAGTTATTTCCAAAAGGAGTCTGAATTTATGCTTGCCTTTCACTTCAGAAGAAGTCAGCTGAGGGGCGAGGGAGGGGAGGAAGTAACAAGCACACAAGCTTTTCTGACATTCTTACATCTTCTCATTAACGTCCCTTGTATTGATGTGAACTTTAATACAGAAAAGCAATTGCCAGTTGACTCTTCTCAGAAAGCAGTTTTGAATCTCTGACCTGGATCATACCTTTCATTAAAAACCTTTTCAAAGGGTGAAGAAGGTTCTCGTTTATTTTAGTTGAATGCTATTGTTATAACTGCAGGTGTTGTTATGAAAGTGGCATGTTATGACTTGCGTATTTAGTGCTTCTGAGAGAGAAGCCTGTACAGCAGCTGCAGTACGTACTGCTCAGTACTCAGCAGGGTCCCAGAGGTTGTTCAGGTGATAGATACACAGACCGGAATAGGACAGTTTTAGGTGGCTAGCCTGTGCGAGTGTGCACATGTGAGTTGATGGAACTGAATTGCTAATTCCTGGAAAAAGTGGTAAAGTGTTTAGTTACCAATACCGTAAAATGTTCCTTGTATTCAGCTTGTTGTTACTGCATAAGCAATAAATGTCACTAAGAAAGTATCACGATCTGTTAATTTCTCATTTACAGAAAACAAAGTTTTCAAAACCATACCAATAAATAACAATTTTTTCCCAGTTATTGCTAAAAATATAGGTTATAAGGGCTTTAGGTAAGGGTTTAATTTATTTTAAAAAAATATTTAGCGTGACTAATACTACAGCTCTCTAATATTAATTATGATCTTCAGTAGACTAAAATCAAGAGGGACTCCACCCTAAAAGCACTATAGTCTTCTTGGTTTTTTTCTTCCTGTGCAGATTCAGGTTGTTAGGCACTTGAGCAGCAAGGGCTGCAGGGTACACACTGACACTTCTAGAGAACTTTCAGGCAAACACTGTAGCCACCTGACTGGAAACCTTGAAATCTCAACAAGTCTCTTGGTTTTAGGGTGAGAACGAGAAAGGTCTGTGCTAAGACAATTTTAACTAGCTGTCTGCGACTTTTCTGTGCAGAAGAAAGATTCATATTAAACAGAATTTTGTCAGTTAAATTTGGCTGCCAACTGTGTTTTTCTAATAATCAAATTTTAGTAATTTCCCTATAACTTGCATTTCCATAATTCAAAAGGAAATTAAATACTTGGCGCTGTCTTATCCACTCTGCTGTGTTTTGTACCATCTTGCACTTCTTGTGTGTCTTCTGTCACTGTACTAGGAGTTCTTTAAGTAATAACGACAATGGAATTTTCAATAGTAGTGGCATGCTCTTTTCTGGCGACTACAACCAATACATATGAACTAGAGAGGAAACCCTGTCAGAAACAAGGGTGAAATTAATTCATACTTCTATGAAGTTATCAAGATGAATGAGGTAACACAGCTGGGCAGCAGCTTCATTCTCACCTTTTTTCTCTAATATTCTTTTTGCCTTTTATTTAAACAAAAATGTGTGATTTTTCTTGCTAAACAACCTGTTTCAGATAGTTAAGCAACCTCTTATCACCATTCTTTCATTGTTTTCTCTTCCTGTACGTAACAGCAACCAGCTCTTTCCTCATCCAGTCTCCCCACACATCCTTGCAAAGTGCTCCTATGCCGCTGTGCAGGTTTAGAAAAGTTTCGTGTTTTGCTACAGGGAAACAGACATTTCTGCTTTCCTCCTCCTCACTTTTTTTTTCCTTCAGAAAAGGCACAAACTGTGCCTCGGAGCAGCTGCGGATGCCTCCATGTCTCAGCACAGAGACAATCACGCAGGGTGTGCAGGAACACAGCAAGGGCTGGCGGCTCTGCCAGGGGAGAGCCCTCAGCAGCCAGGGCCCAGCCCTCGGCACCCGCGAGGCGAGCAGGGCTGCCCAGGGCCAGGGTCAGCCCCTCAGTCCAGACACGGG